ATCAGATCTATCGTCATGAAATGGAAACAATTTTCTTAATACTTTGAACGTCAGTTGATGCGACGTGATCATCTGAGACCCCCAATCAGTAGTGCTCGGGTTGGAACGTCCGCGGAATGGCTGGAACATACTTTATGCTAAGCTTTTTCAATACACCCAATTCTAAATTTTCGGTATCGAGAAATAACTGATCGATAGAAACGTATCAGAGACAATGTGAGACAATGTGCAATTGGTCAAAATGCCTGGATAGATTTACTAACCGAAAGTTCCAGGTATCTATACTCGTGTGCCGCATGATCGAAAAATGATTGACATAGGCAAAAGGATGTTTGTGTTATATCTTCTTGATGTTTCGCATCAAGGTAGGGGAGCTAAATAAAAGAAAGACGCATTATTTTAGTTTCACTCTAAAAACAGCGGAATAAGGCATTTCTAATAATAATTTAAAGCAGATCACCGCTGAAAATTTGTCTTATCTCATCGTTCGTTCACTATGAGTTCAAGTCTTCAACAGAACACCGCCGCAAGCCTCTGGTGTGATTACTTACAGTTCACCACGAAGTCGTCGAAGTCGAGCCTTGGTCTCAGCCAGTTCCACAGCCAAATGATGCCGATCTCGTTCAACGGGCACACTGGTATCCGAAGCGTCCGCATAAATTGTACCAATGGATTGGGTGTGCTCCGCGTCCACTTCTACATCCACGTCTAATCCCGAGTCGAGGAGGAAAAGCTGAGCGGCGAGATCATTAGGTTCCGAATGCGCCACACCTTCATCGACCAAGATTGCTGCCCGTTGCTCACCGTCCCCATCACCCATAGTCTCAGTTAGTTGACTCACAGAGGGGCTAGTGGTTTTGTTCAGCTGACCCATCTCCAGTCCGAGGGCATCCTCAGCCGAAGTTAACCGGGGTGTCGAGGTGGTCATTTCGCCCCGAGTCGGATCACCTAAACTGACAGTCGATCCAGTACGACCTGTGAGACGACCGACAGACCGAGCACGACCCCGTGAGGTCAACCGGACACGAGCCTGCAAGTTGGTGAACTTGTGCTGCAGCACCTCAAGTTGATCCAATAAGTCACGAATTTCCTTTTGGGGAGAGAACCCAGATTTTGATTAGAATGATGGTAAGAAGATTGGACGAGATTCAGGAAGACATGATCTATTTAATTGTGAAATAAACAAACAAACTGAGAGAAATGGACTAGGTTTTGCCAGGATTTCTATTGTAATTGGCTCATACCACAGTGATATCGATCGCCGAGATCAGAGTTTAAAATATATAGTTCGATATGCTATGAAATTGAAGTTGTAACAAGGAACAAGTTTGATTGGTCGCACAACGAAGGACACTTTCGAAATGCAGCTCCTTATCCCCACACACAAATAAAAACTGCGATGGAATTACAAGAACTGTATTGATCACCTTTTAGTTCAAAAACATAACTAAAGTAAGAAAAAATAGGGGGATTTAGATTTATTTTTATGAAGGAGAAATACTGAGGGGTTTTGATGAAATTTAAACATGCACAATGCTTCTATGTCAATGTGCCGTTGATCTCAAAGCTTCATTCTCAATCATAATAAGATAACAGTCTCTGTTAATTTAATCTTCATTGATCTCAATCGGCAGTTTAGATGCTCTTTTGGAGCTCATCATCAGTACCGCTCATTGTGGATTTGATAAAAGGATCTCCTGCGGAGACGCCAGTAACTCAGGGACGAAATGCAAAATCTCCACACGCCAAACAATTGCAGCGGAGCGGAAGACAACATAATACATTCTTGCAAGCAAACTTTAATTCACTACTGTTCCGCAGTGCAAGAGTGAGCATAATACATGTCAGCCAACAGTGGGGCAAAGGATGAGGTGTGTGTGTGTGTGTGTGTGTGTGTGTGTGTGTGTGTGTGTGTGTGTGTGTGTGTGTGTGTGTGTNGCAATCATAAATTGCCCGAATTCGACGGGTCAGAACTTTTGTCCAAAAATTTTACTGCACAGTCAGTTGTCCCCGTCAGCTTCTCATTTGCGGGAACGCATTGACTGTTGCGGCGACTATTGTGCCCAACTGGTAAACACCATTCTTTCTGATTATACTGACTCGGTCAGCGTGGGCAGTCCGTTTAAATTTTAACCAAGTCAAGCAGAAGCAGTAGCAGCATGGTTCAAATTGTGTGCCAGAGTGACCGCGAGAACCAGGGCGAAAAATCTGGCAAACCATTCAACGGAAAAAATGGTCATTTGAGTGCCTGATCATTGGCTAGGAAACAAGCTGTAATCGGAAAAGAATGAAAGTATATGCATCCTCGGAGTAGTTCTTTGCTAGTCGATTGGCACTAAAGAACAACGTTCCTAGCCCTTTACGCCTGATAGGTGTTCACGTGTCGGAGCGAGGCAAATATATGTATATACACCAAAAGAAGTCACAGCTTACTGATCTCACGCATAACTCACAAACACTTGTGAGTAGAGGTGTGGGATATTTGATATTTACTGATTCGAACTGACTATCCTTCGGACTTCACCTCCACGCACAATCCTTAGTTCATCGATTCAACGATGCAGTCGGAAGCAATGGACTCAAGTTTCGCTTTTATTAGAGCTCATCAGTAGTGCATATGCACCGTCCCGTCCGGGATTTGAACTCCGAACCCATCGCTTGGAAGGCTTGTGTGTTACCACTGTGCCAACCAGCTCATAACACGGCTGAACCAAATTGTCAATTCATTTTTGTTCAGATGTCGCCTTCAGTGATAGTCCGTTCGCTTGACCCGACGGCAGTGAAGGGAGACAGACGACAATGAGCTGGTTGGCACAGTGGTAACTCACAAGCCTTTCATGCGATGGGTCCGAACGGGGTTAAACGTCTATGGTGCCCAATACACCTCGATATCCAATCAAGCCAGTGATCACCGCCATAGCCAGGAAGGTGTGTGTGGTTCGTACGCCTCTTCTTAGTTAATTTTGAATCACAATCTTTAGCCATGTCTCCTAAGTGAACTGCTGATGGTTCACCGATCCGGTTATAACTCTGGATGTTAGCCTTCCATCCTCCCCCACGGAAAGGCAGTGAGTAGGGCTTCCGCGGCAAAAGCGCTTGCGGCAGAACAGTACAAAAGATAAAAAAGACGAGATTTCTTTGCCCGAACAACTCTGTATCACGTGACCTAGACCTAGACCTTTTCAGGTGTGACTCACAGTTGCACTCCCCCTGNACCCACCACCCCATCCTTAACTCATCCAACAAAAGTCAATCTTGCAGACAATCACAAGCGGTCTTATAAGATTATTGACTGATAAAATTTATTGGGACTGACCTTAACCGAAATCGACTTAACCGGGTCATTCCTGGTCCCTTATCTAGTCCATTGTTAGGATGAGTAAGTGAACGGGATAAGTAGGCAGGCTTGAGGGAGAGAAAAATGTTGGCCGTGTGATAAACCAAACCACGATATAAGCAAAACTGATCAGCGCCCAGATGGGTTCCACGACAAACATTGCCAACTGATTCAGTCGACTCAATCGATAAAACTCAGTGTGTGGATGTTAAGCTCAAATTGGTTTTGAGTTCAATACTCGCAGTATACAAAGTATCGAAATCCGAAGAGGACCTAGAGCATAGAGATAAGCGACCTTTCCACGGAGGATCACACGAGCTCCGGAAACCCGATCGAGAAGTCGGACAAGATTGTCGATTCCCTCTTGGCCTTGTGCAAACTTGTATGCAACGCGAGTGGGCTGTTCACTAGAGAGAAACCTTGTTCTGTTTTGTGGGCTTCCCCCCCCCCCCCCCCCTTAAAAAAGGCCCGTGGTGATGATTCGTCAGCAGAAACGCTGACCTTTGGATTAAAGCATTGTTAAAATAATAAAAAAAGTATTCCTTTTAAATAAGACAAACGTCTTGGTCCCGAAGATCAACAGAATCGTTTTTAAGGGCGGGGGATATCCTGTAGGATGATGTCGTTTCGACCGAGAAAGAATAATAATCGTGACTAACATTTTTAATGAAATAATTCTGCTCCGAAATTAATTTGCCGTGTCTACGGCACAGAAAAAAGGAGATCCCTCCGGAGTTGTAGAACTCAAAATACGACTCTGTTGAAAATTTACCAGAGCTTCATGGTGCAGTCTCTCAGAACAGTAGTTTGAAGACCTGGTAAGATGTGTTTGAGCTTTGTTTCGCTGAAGCTTTCAATGGTCTTCAATAAATTTTCGAGAGTGATCCTCAACTGCATGAGTTTCATTCATCGGAGGGAGACGTGAGATGGAAATCTTTCCATTGGATGGACGCAATTCGACTTGAAGTGGTTAGAGGTCGTGGACAAACAGAAACTTTAATGAAGAAGGTTCGGCTCTCCCCTACCCCATCCAATCCTTGGAACGTCTCCTTCGGGGACGATTAGGACTGATGTAGGCCAGAACCGAAAACGACTGAATGCAATTCCCTCAGAATGTTTGAATAACTAAGGATAGTCCAAAAAGTGAAATTCGTGGCCGTAAAATCGCATGGATTTATCCAAACAGTGCATTTTGAACATAACACGATATTTGTTTTTAATAAGTTGCTACTAGTAGCAACCAATAGAAATCGATGGAGCATAGTGTATATTCACTAAATTATGAAGCTTTGTAAATTCGATAGTGCAACCCAGCCAGAATGGACTGGATGTTGAATGCAATCCCGTGCGATTAGACGGCGTTTTATTCAAACTTCATAGCTTTAGCCAAAGCAGAACATCGCAACTTCCGGTGCTTGGGGTCCTTCATTCACACAGGAAGGTTTACGCTTCACCATCCGACACACAAGCATATATTCAATCCGGATGAATGCATTCATGAAACCGAATCTGATCCGCGCAACCCGTCAACTGCCGTTTTTTGGAGACTTTGAAGCGCAGTCAGTGAGAGTACACCTTTAAGAGCACTGGGTAGGGAAGAACGAACCGTGTCGACCAGTACATTTCTCCGTGCAGGAGTGATCTTAGCAGCACCGAAGTAACCCATAGTCTTTCCAATCTAGTACACAAAGGCATTTCACCCAATCGTGTTACTGATTGCACACTACTCATTGACCATTTCGCATTGTCCCGTTTGCAGCCTCGTCACATTACTCTATCACCTGAATTGGACTGATTAAGGTATTGGTTAGAGAAAAAAGTCGCAAAAGCACCGATTGGAAATTATTACCCAATTCAGTTGCAGGCCCTGATAACTTGATTTTAATTGTAGTTTTCATTCCCCTCATGATTCGGGACGATGCTTCATTCATTATAACATCGCGATTAGCCATTATCTGAAGAACAAGATAACTCGGTAATCAATTATTATTATTATTATTATTACTTCATGTTTTAGCTCGTTAAATGACGTGACAATGAGGCTAAGGGATGATGTGAAACGACTGAATAAATTCCGTAAAACCACGGGGGGAAATGTGTCATAGAAAAATTTCGACGGAGGCAATAAATATCACACTTTCCAGGTATTACAAATCCAGGGTCTCTCAAATGCACGTGTCCATGTTCATTGTATGATTCGGTTAGCGAAATTAGCTAGCCGGTAATATTGACAAACAGGCAATAATTAGGGCACAATTATGGCTATTCCTCCCTCCCTCCCTCTCCGGTACCCCGGGTAATTCGCAATCCTTCAGATCTTCCGTTCTCAGCTTCAAAGTGAACAATAAAATGAGCGTTTGTCATACAAGGCTAAAAACCGGATCCCTCGAGGTGATAAATTGATCCGGGCAACTGATCGGCGTACAACTGTTATCTATAGAATGACGCATATAACCTGGTTTACTCGTAGAATATAGACACACGATCACTTTCTATATACACCTGGGCACATTCATCCGTCTCACCCCTCGGAAACAAGCGACTGGGGGGGGGAGGCAGGGGAGGAGGAGGAAATGGAAAGATTAGCATGTAACCAAATGTCTTGATCCCACACATACACCAATTTCATGGACAAGGTAAGCATACACGGAATACGCCATTATTCAAGGGGATCCGAAAGATACGACCTATTATCTCGTTCCGTCTCCGTTCACGGTGAAGTCAAACTTTAACCTAACCGGAGACAGCATGAGATCGTAAAAAACGAGAGGGAGAGAGAAATCCGAATAAGGATCGGGAACAATTAAGTGTATTTTCATGTTTCTACCATTGCTTTCTAGTGAGTGATCGGTCGTACGCTTGCTTACCGAACCACTTCAAAGCTCTGGCGTACAAGTCGTGACATTTAGATCAGCACACACAGAGAACTAGCATTATTCTGTTTTCGGACACCTATTCCTCGCTGATACTATGGTTACGCCATTCCGTCACGGAGTGGGGGGGGGATACTTCCATTGTATGCACGTTCTGCTCAAGACCACGGTAGAATACCACTGAGGGTAACGGAACACAGTCCCTGGTTCGAACAGGTTCTACCTTTGGCGATTCGCTCACCAGCAAATCCATATTTCCCGTTTAGTACAGAAGATTATTACTTTTCTCTGATATCTTACCTTGCGGTATTCTCATTTTCAGTTACTCCAGTGACGGGCAGGTCTACACTTCATTTTTTCATACATTTCCAACTGTTATTTTGATAATTTGTGGACTGGTGTCTTTTCAAGAATCCAGAGCACTTTGCAATCCAAATGAGTTTAGATTATCAATCCGAAGATTAATGATTAAAGTCCAGGCAGGGATGCAAGAAAATTGACGAAACCAACAAAGAACGAAACAGTAAGCTAAGCTACTCGTCCTAAAACTAAAATTAATGTATACTCGCTGACATGAACCGTCGTGTCCGTGCGTCTGTTCGCATTCCTTGCCGGTTATTCCAGCGTGCGTAACGTTTTATAGTCATTCAATCGCTCGCTATCTCAAAGGGCTCTCGATAGACTAATAAAGAGAGAGAGGGAACAGGGAACATCTGCGGAGTTGTGGAAACTAAATCTCCCACTCTTTTGCAGCTTACTCAAATATCCTTTTTCTGTCTCAAAGGAACTCACATTACCACGGAAGCGGAATGCACAAGACCTGAATTGAAGTCCCGTATAGTCTAGCCACAAAAACGCCAACTGAAACCATACACCTGAGCACCACTACCTAGCCCAGACCCCAGGGATTGTAAAGATTGACATGCATGGTTGGTTATGATGCCAACACACACACACACA